GAAAAAAAAAAAAAAAAAATAGAGGTCTACATGAAAAATAACCACCAAAACATAATAGGTATAATGTCTTCCAAGTGACCCCTCAAAAAGTGTCATAGTGATAGGAAGGGGGGGAAACAAAAGAATAAAAAAAAAAAAAAAGAAGAGAAGGCTTACAGACCAGAACTCGAATGACAAAACATTTCTCGCAATCCATCAGCAGATCTTCAGCAGGTCCCACGCTGCAAGCAGTCAGTCAGCCAGCTTCGTTTGAAGCAAGCTTCTCTATTTCTTCCAGTAAAACCCCAGACGACATAGCAGTACAGTACAGACTGCTTGCCAGATTCTAACCAGTAAGACAAGTAAAACCACTTGCTATATTCAATTCTAACCAAACCTTTTTGAAGGCAACAGTGTCTGTGGGCTTGAAGGATGACTCACCTTTTTTATTACATCGTTGAGGAAAATTATCTCCGTCAGCTTCATCGTTAAATCGTCTTCGTTGGTGCCAGACTTCAAGTCACTCACCACAGAGGGTCTGATGCACAGTGGAGGCACTAAGAGCCGCGTGAGAATCAAATCTGAAGGTTTACCTGCTTCTGGGTTCATTAGAAGCAGAGGGATATCTTCCGCTGGGATTCTTTTGAAGAGGTTCAACACTACCAAAGGGTTTAAGTTTTCCTACAAAATCAAGTGGAGAAAGGGGAGAAAAAGCCATCATGTAGCAGTTTCAATGCTTCCTCCCTCCCCTCAATTACTGGTTGTTCAAAAATAAAGTATTTTAAAACAACAAATAGATAAGAACTATTAATGCAAACAAAACTATGCTTTATTCTGAACCAATGCTTTTAGCATCTCAGGTACTAACTTGCTATTTTCTTTCCTTATACATCATTGTTTACTTCTCATTGTGTTACTCCCTTTTTTTAAACAGTTAACAGAGTATTTCATAGTTACTTGTCAAAGCAACTCAGCAAACCTCTCATAACAAACTTATGGTACGTAGTAATCATTTTATTAGTAAGAACTAACATGAATTACAGTACTTTATAGACTTTTTTTTAAAAAAAAAAGAAACTAATTTCTCTCTTGTTGGTACAGCTAAGTATATGACCTAAGCACATGCTGCAGTATAAGAAACTCCAGATATTTGTCAGTTTTTCAGCCCAAATATGTACCCCGGGATCTTCTCAGCTTTTAAACAGCAGAAGGAAACAAAACTGCACACAATGCAAAGCTGGTTTAAACAAAAAGGTTTGGTAAATAAGTCTCCTGAAAAAAAAAATAGTTCTGTGTATTGTAATAATCTCAGAGCTACAATGAATCTCCATGGACACAGAGCTTCCATGGGCCTTTCTTCTGCCTTTTGTAGCTTATGGAAGTTTCACACACCAAGAACATCCCCCTTCTTTATAGACAGAAAGCGATGTATCAGAGCATACAACTAGACCAAATTTCTCATTTTTGCAAAGTTAACATTATCGAAAAAATACAAACATTCTTCAAGTGTCTTTTGATATATGAAAATCTTGTATCACCACAAGGCTTAAGCTGATACACTGAAAACCTTTGAGGAGTCTTATTTCAAGCACAAAAACTAGCACAAAACTTAAGTCATGACAAAATTCACCTGCGCTCTTCCCAGTAAGGGTTCTACTTCTTTGTTATGTTCTATGGCGGTTTCAAAGGACTGGAGGAAAGTAGATACTATCGGATCTACCACTTTCTTATTGGTTTTGTACTTTTCATGTATTATTTTCAACAAACCACACTTCTTCACAGTTCCTGCAAGCAAACAAATGTGGGTTGTTGGTTTTCTTTAAACAACAAAAACACCAAACAAAAAACTCCCCCAAATTTAAAACAAGTAAGCCACTGTTCCAATCCTAGTTAAACCTTCAGTGAACACAAGAATAAAAAATAAGTTTTATTAACCAGTCTCCTAAGTTCTCAAATCGAAGAGGACCATCAGGTCACGTCTCCTTCTAGGGCTGGCCTGGTGTGCCTAGAGCATGATGCAGCTTCTGAAGCTGAGAGCAGGTGGTTTAGCCCACACTTTAATTCAGCTTCCCCTTAACCATAGCAGATTTTTTTTTTTTTGAAGTAGAAGCTCCCCCACCAAAACAAGGACTAAGATGTGCCATTTCTATACCATCCCACCATCTCCCAAAACAATTTTGGAAGTGAATTGTAAGAAGAATCTGAAAACTACTACTTTCATGTCATGCATATGTACTTTATGTGGAAGTATCCATAAAACTTCCACAGACTAGTACAAGTGCTTTCCAAACTCAACTATTTTTACTAAAGTACGCTGACCTACCGCTTAATTTTGTAAATACCTATTGTTCGTGCCCCTAAATGTACATGCAGCACTTCCAATGAAGCAGCTCTCTGTTGATTCAGGTTGTTGATCATTACAACAAACAACTCAAAATTTTCATGAGTTAAAAAACATAAAACCATCGACTACGAATCTGTAACGCTGCAAGTCCTTTAACAGCAGTACCACTTGATCAGAGTACATGAAGAAAAAAAAAATACTTTGAAAAACAAATGTGAAATCTTATCAAGATATCTGCCCTGAAGTACAGACTCCAGCGTAACCCAAGATCATCACAGCTCAAACATTGCCAAACTGCAGAACAGACCCTCCTAGAGGACAAGAAACACATCTAATATTAAGAAACATACTTTAATGATGAAAAATGAAGTTCAATCAAAATCAAAGTCTACAAATGCTTCTAAATTAAGCTATTGATCACTGACAATAGCTCTCAATATTTTTAAAAACATGTTAAACCAGAAGATTTTCTGCCACTATTCAAGTATCAAATGTCAGTTACTGCCATGCAGAGATACCACATGAAATAAAACAAGCAACCAGGAGGATACCTCTGTTCACATAACTGAGATGTGAGCGAGCAGGTAGTTGGCATTAAGAATACAATTACCTTATCGTTAATAAAGGCCAGAGAGAATACCCACTAGCTAAGGGAGGAACAAGGATATCCAAGCTTTTGAGACCTATCACAGCCACCAAGGTGAAAACCATCACAGCAGATAACGATCACTAACTGCTAACGCCAACACTCACCATTAAAGGCACCACAGTAAGGGCAAGTGTTTTTCTTTCGGCACTTTTCAGACACTTTCTTTTTCAGCCCTCTCTTCTGAAGATAGGTAAGGCCAGGTCGCTTCAGGTAATCCAAAAATTGTTTTTTTTCTTCCACTGACAGCAAGATACGGCAACAGGTTTTGCAGATCATCTTAAATGTAAACATATATAAACATAGTTGTTTAAGGCACACGCAGAGTTGCAACCTCTTCTACTATGACTTAAGTTCTTCAGCAGAGGGTAGTTTCTTTTGAATGAAATACAATGTTCTTGGCTGAAAGACCAACTCATATGCCGTCATACACAAAAAAGAATACGTGGGAAAAAAAATACAGTCAATGAGGCAAATCCTTATCTAAGGTCTGTAGGATCTTTAAAATCTAAATATAAAGCAAAAAAACTTTAATTTACTGGAATGTCCTAAAAGTTATACTGCATATATACAATTCAAACTATTATAGAAAAATAAGTGATTAATCAATCAGTCTGAGATTATATAAAACAAAACTGAGGTATTTACATCCCTAAGACAGGTACTTCAATACGTTTATTTTACCAAACACAAGATGCATAAAGACAAAACATGTAATACAGCCTTATTCTGTTCTTCTCAACTACTCTTTCAAGCATCACCTTTTCCGCTAATTTCTTTTTTCTAGACTAGAAACTGAAGACAAATCATAATTGCGTTTACCTGTAAGATGCCTATCACAGCTTTGAAGTATCCAACGTGAAAACAGGGCAGCTCTAGGTCAATGTAGCCATAATGTCCTAAACAATCCGCTAGATTTTTTCCACAGGTTTCACAGGGACGGTCTTTTTCACTGGTTCCCTTTGGGAGAAGGGGAACACATGCAGAAAAAAGAAATAGCTGTAATGAACTGAATACATAGAAAATACAGCAGTTCTTAAACTAGTCAGCTATCCTGATGGCAGACCCACAGCGCTTACTCCTTTTTCCCAGAATCAGAAGCATGCCAACAGCATTACATTCACTCCAGTCCTTCAGAAAAATGTCTTCCCTACGCAGGCCCTACTGATACCAGTGGTATTAACTCACGGCCTTGTGACTGATCTACAGCCTGCCAGTCTACAACGAGGCATTTTGTAGATGGATGTCTCCAGCTCTCCCGACAACAAGGCAGAAAGAACTTCTCTCCTGTTTCAAAAGAACTGGCTTTCCTGAACCACCGAGAAGCATGAAGTAGCTACAAGTGGCAGTCTACGCAATTCAAGTATAGACACCCTTACATGTATTTTGGACGAGCAGTAAATATCAGTCATCCCAACTTATTTTTAACCACTTCATGCAATCCCATAAAAAGGGTCGGAGAAGCCCCCCAGCTCTCACCATGCGATGGTCGAGCACTCCGTACTGCAGCGGAGAGTGGTGGTTGTCCTGACTGTACAAGTTTTTGCTGACCACTTGAATGTGAGCTTGCTGACGCATCTCCTCCGGAGATTTCATCCCAAAACAGATGTGGCTTCTAGAAGGGAAATTGCACATGTATGTACGCACACATACATACGCAGAAATACTTTTAATGACTAGCATACATAGACGTATGTATCTGAAAGCAATGTAAAGGTTGCTGAGGCGATTCACAACGGAGCTGGAGCGGTTGTTTTTTTATTAGCTATAAAAAGCAGAGCTATGTTGCAGAGAGTCGGTGGTTTGCAGCCGGGGCAAGCAGCCCCAGTCTCTGTGCCTCTGTGCGAGCAGTGCCATGGGCAGATGAGGCTGACCAAGAGCTTTGCAGGCTAGCTCTTTCTGGCTGCGAGCTATCTGCAGACGTTCGCATTTCGGGAGCAGGGCTGACGGACGCGCCCAGCACGGACCCCCAAAGATACGTTTGAAGTTTGAGGTGGCAAGACAAGCAAGCAGCCCCAGTCTCTCTGCCTCTGTGCAAACAGTGCCATGGGCAGATGAGGCTGACCAACAGCTTTGCAGGCTAGCTCTTTCTGGCTGCGAGCTATCTGCAGACGTTCGCATTTCGGAGCAGGCCTACCGGAGGCGCCCGACACGGACCCCCAAAGCTACGTTTGAAGTTTGAGGTGGCAAGACAAGCAAGCAGCCCCAGTCTCTGTGCCTCTGTGCGAGCAGTGT